GGCGCCTTAGCCGGTTGAGCTATAGGCGCCGAGCCACAAATTAAAATACCCAAGTCTACTTCCCTTTTTGAACAAATATTTCTAAACTTTTTGTTTTTCCTAACAAATAATCACATGTTGTAGAGAGTGGAAACAAAGGCAGTCAAACTATGTCAGAAAATGAGATTTACAGGGAAGAAATGGTGGTACAGAGAGAAATTCGTAACCTAAAGGATCAAAAATAGACTTTCCTTTGTGGCAGTTAAATATTCAGTTGAGTAAAACATTATCCTCTAAGTGATTATTATTTAACATTATCCTCATATCGTGCTCTGTGGTTTGAGCAAATTTAAATTATTTTCATTTTATCGTGATCCAGATGGATTGTGTGTAATTATGTACAATCCCTACACCTTGAGTGTGCTATATCGTAAGTGCTATTTGTGGGTTTAAATGTTTGTGTTACACACAAATTGCAAAAAAGCAAAGTGGCCTCACTTTCTCCTGTTTCCCAGAACTTGACCTTTGCCTGTTTTTCTGGAAGATGTCCATATTCCCTAAGTACTTCTCATTTGAAGAATGAGAACACCATCACTTTTTTACCTGGAAACAATCAGAACCTAAAAGATGTTGAAAAGGCATAAAAGTTACAACCTGAATGAACCTTGAGGACCCTATGCTGAAGGTGAAGTAAGCCAGTCTCAAAAAAGACAAATATCGCAAAATTCTACCTACATGAGGTCAGATTCATAGAGACACAAGTGGTTGCCAGGGGCCGGGAGGAGGTGAGAATGGGAAGTTGTTAATGGATGTAGCGTTTCTGCTTGGGACAATAAAAAAGTTCTGGAGATGGATGGTGCTAATGGGTATGTAACAATGTGAATGTACTTAATACCACTACATTGCAGGTTTAAAATGGTTACACTGGTAACTTTTATGTTATATGTATTTTACCACATATTTTAAAAAATGTATTAACACAAAGGATTAAAGGAACAATTTCAGAATAGCGGAATTTGAAGAAAAAATAGGTATCTGTCCGAGGCATTTTATTTCAGGAATGAATCCCCTTTGGCTAAAAGCCTTTTTTGGTGACTTATTAAAAAGATCTGGGGATGACTCAATTCTTGGAAACCTCTAGAACACACTCTCCGTCAGTGGAGAAGATATTCTCTACACTATCAGTGCTAGAATCTTGAAATAGAATCTTGACATTAGCTGACTTCAAACTCTAACAATAAGGTTCTATATTATAAGACTCTTAATATGCTAAAATTAAAATTGCTAGTAACTGGCTTTTAAATATATCAGAAAACTAGCTGGGTGTGATGGTGGGTACCTGTAGTCCCAGCTACTCAGGAGGCAAGAGGATCTCTCGAGCCCAAGAGTTTGAGGTGGCTGTGAGCTATGATGCCATGGCACTCTACCCAGGGTGACAGAGTGAGACTGTCTCAAAAAATAAAAATTAGACTTGGCGCCCATAGAACATTGGTTACAGCACCAGCCACATACACCGAGGGTGGCGGGTTTGGACCCAGCCTGGGCCAGCTAACCAACAGCTAAATAACTGCAACAAAAAAATAGCTGGGCATTGCGGCGGGCACCTGTAGTCCCAGCTACTTGGGAGGCTGAGGCAAGAGAATCACTTAAGCCCAAGAGTTTGAGGTTGCCATGAGCTGTGACGCCACGGCACTCTACCGAGGGCAACATAGTAAGACTGTCTCAAAAAAATAAAAATTAAAAATATATATACATATATATAAAGGAACATACATTTTATGCCTTGTATCAGGTACCTCTCTCTTAAAGCCCACATTTGTACTGGTTATGGTATTAAATCCATATTTTGAAAGTCCATCAAGAAGTTTTGGGTCCGAATAGTTAATATTCTCCCCTGGAAGAAAAAATAGAGTCATGTAAGTAAAGGCTTCCTGCTGTCACTCTGATGCAGGGGGACAAGAGCAGCACTGTCCTGAATTCACACCGTTTATAATGAGCCAGAGTCATTTTCTCCAATCTAAACTACCCCCAGATGACAAGGCTAAAGGTGGGAACATAGAGTATATACACAAATTAAAGCAGATTCTTTAGCAGAGTATGAGTAGCCAGCTACTTGATCATTAAGTCTTCTGTGGAGGAAGCTGGGCTTCCTTGGGTCCATCATGATTCAGAAGAGTCGAGTGAAACTGTAGCAACAGAATGATCCAGGGAAGGTGGAAGAATGAGAGCTGAAGCTCCTCTCCCGAAATTCCATTATCGAGAATAAAACAACAGGGGACAACCCAAATCAGTCATAATGATAAAGTTTGGGTAAATTCACTATTAGATGAAAACTTAGATAAAAACTTTTAAATGGGAATAAAAAACAAAAGGGACTTATAAAAGACAAACAAGGCTTGGCGCCCGAAACACATTGGTTAGGGGACCAGCCACGTACACCAAGGCTGGAAGGTTTAAGCCTGGCCCAGGCCAGCTAACTTACAATGACAACTGCAAAAAATGGCCAGACATTGTGGCAGGTGCCTATAGTCCCAGCTGCTTGGGAGGCTGAGGCAGAATCGCTTAAGCCCAAGAGTTTGAGGTTGATGTGAGCTGTGATGCCACAGCACTCTACCAAGGACAACATAGTGAAAATTCTGTTTCAAAAAGAAAAAAAAAACCACAAACAAAATAAACTAAAATGGTTAAAAGCAAAAGAATGATTAAAAAAATATATAGGAATCAAAATATCTTTTTAAGAAGTATATAATTCACTGGAAGGAACATAAAATCGTTTTATACTGAGCTGTAAGTCAGAAGAGAGACTTAATAGTCATGAGCTTGAACTTTGTGACATCAGAGAACTGCAACTCAGAGCTCCAGCTGTGCCATTGGTTAGTGTGCGGTACTCACATAAAAAGCTACAACTAAACAGTTAAAGAAAAATGCTTAGAAATATCAACATGAACCCTCATAAATAAGAGTAACAGAATATTTTATGAACTTGGAATCAGAAAAAAAGAATTTGAATGATGTCATTAGTACTTGTCTTATAGGGAATAAATTTTCTTTTCCAATGCCCACGGAGTGCTTACCACTCAAGTTCTCAGAGGTCGGGCACAGTGTCTCACTCCTGTTATCCTAGCATTCTGGGAGGCTGAAGTGGGAAGATCACTTGAACTCAGGAGTTCAGGCCAGCCTGAGCAAAAATGAGACCCTATCTCTACTAAAAAATAAAAAAATTAGCTGGGTGTGGTGGTAGGTGCCTGTAGTCCCAGCTACTCAGGAGTCTGGATCATGAACCCAGGAGTTTGGAGTTGCTGTGATCTAGGCTGAGGCCAGAGCATTGTAGTTGGGGCAACAGAGTGAGAGTCTATCTTAAAAGAAAAGAAAAGAAAAAATGGATATATGTGAAGGGGGTTCTGGTCAAGATGGAGCAGCCCATTCCTTCCAGATTTGCTTCCCTACAACTTAAAATGAAGCATAAGAGGGCTCTCAGAGATGCTGGTCGACTAAGGGCCCAGGGTATGGGCTCCCCAGGTTTTCTTATGGCCTCCCATAACGCCCAGACATGGGCTGTGGAAGCTTCTAACTGGACATCACAGTAGGCACAGACAAAAAAGCTCCAAGATAAGTCTACTCTGCCTTGCAGAGCGGGAGAAAGGATTACCTACCAACAGGAATCATTGGCAATCCTTATCCTGGTCCAGCCAACACCACTGTAGCTGAGCAGACCCTAATCTTTCACTGAGCAGAAGCAGGCATGTACTCAGGTGGTGGTGGTGGCTCAGCAGAGCGTTCCTCTTCCACTGCCCTCCCTGGTGGAAATAGGTGATGCTCTGATTCTCAAGTTAGTGTCAGCAGCATGGCGAGCCTCCAGCCCCGCTTGGCAGCAATTAGAATGAATGAGGTGGTGCAAGGTAGGGCTCATCAGCACTCCACACTCTCCAAGCCCTTAGTGTGGGCAGAGCTCAGTGGGGAAATGAGCCTCCACCCTAGCCCCAGCCCCCACCTAGCAGCAACAAGACAGAAACAGGTGGTGTGAGTCAAGAGAGTTGACATTTCTCTTCTCTCCTTCCCCGGTGCCAGTAAGGCCCAGTGGGGAGCTGAGCCTCTACTATTTGGCATCAGTGAGGGAAAACCACGGGATGGGAGGTAGGACTGTTGACATTCTGCTTCTCTATCTTGCCCTTGGTGTCAGCAGGGCCCAGCAGAGAGTTGAACTCTGAGACAACAATGTCATACAAGTCAGTGCCCCATTTCACCAGGACAGCGTCAGTGGAGCCACAGGGTGACTTCTACTCCATCCGTCGGCAATGCCACAATGGACTGGGTGGCATTCTCGGCCTAGAAGGAGGTTGGACGTACACACGCACCTTGTCCTTCTGTTGCCTCTCATCGGGGAGATAATTACTAAAAAGGAAGCTTAAATAGTATCTGAAGTCTCACAAAGTCCAAAAGGTTCAGGATACAATAAAAAACAATTATTTGTTATACCAAGAACCAGGAAGATTGCAAATCAGATGAGAAGACAATCAACAAATTCCAACGCTGAGATAAATCAGAGGTTGGAGTCATGTGATTAGGATGTTAAAGCAGCTATCGCAAAGATGCTTAAAACAAATTGAAAAAAATCTCAGCAAAGAAATAGAAATTATGTAAAAAAGAATCAGATGAAAGTTATAAATGGAATAATAATATTCCATTATTAACTAATCTAAATAAACTAAATTGGATCAGCTTCATATTAGAACGGTGGTGACAAACGGTAGAATCAGTGAGCTTAGGGACAGATCAGCAGAATTCATCCAATCTGAACAACAGAGAGAAAATACAGTGAAGAAAATGAAGAGAGTTCCAGGGAACTGTGGGATAATGAGTAATAAATTCCTATGACAGGAGTATAGGAGGAAAGGGGAAAAATAGGATTGAAAAAAGCACAAATAAGAAATAATGCCTGAAATGCCCTCAATTTGGAGAAAGATGGAAATCTACAGTGTTAAGAGGCTGAGAAATCCTCAAATGGAATAAACTGAAGAAATTCATGTCAAGATGCATTATAATTCAACTTCTGAAAACTGAAGACCAAGAAAAACTCATGTAAGCAACCAGAGAGGAATAACATGATATCTGCAGAGGGACCCCAAGCTGAATGACCAGGGATCTCTTCCCTGAAACCACGGAAGAGGGAAAGAAGTTACAAAACATTCTCAAGTCCAGTCAGAAGAGAACTGCCAACAGCAAATTCTATATCCAGCAAAAACACCCTTCAGGGATTACAGGAAAATAAAGACACTTTTATTTTATTATTATTATTTTGAGACAGAGCCTTAAGCTGTTGCCCTTGGTAGAGTGCTGTGGCATCACAGCTGACAGCAATCTCCAACTCCTGGGCTCAAGTGATTCTCCTGCCTCTGCCTCCCAAGTAGCTGGGACTACAGGCACCTGCCACAGAGCCTGGCTATTTTTTGTTTGCAGCTGTCATTGTTGTTTGGCGGGTATGGGCTGTATTCAAACCTGAACCCACCAGCTCAGGTGTATGTGGCTGGTGCCATAGCTGCTTGAGCCACAGGCACCAAACCTAAAGATACTTTTATTTTTTATTTTTATTTTTTGAGACAGAGCCTCAAGCTGTCGCCTTGGGTAGAGTGCTGTGGCATCACACAGCTCACCACAATCTCCAACTCCTGGGCTCAAGCAAATCTCCTGCCTCCACCTCCCAAGTAGGTGGGACCACAGGCGCCCACCATGGAGTCTGGCTATTTTTTGTTTGCAGCCATCATGGTTGTTTGGCGGGCCCAGGCTGGATTTGATCCCGCCAGCTCAGGTGTACGTGGCTGGCACTTTAGCCGCTTGAGCCACAGGGGCCAAGCCTAAAGATACTTTTAGATGAAAAAAATGTCAATACTTTGTGAATAGCAAACCTATCCTTAAAGAGTAAGAAAAGGAAGTTCTCTAAACAGAAAGGAAATGACAACAGAAGCCTTGGAACTTCACAGAGGGAAAAAAGAATATCCAAATGAGTAAAAAATAGGAGTAAATAGAGACTAACCTTCTCGTAAGATTCTTAAGTCTTACTTGGTAGTTGAAGCAAATATTCTAACATCATCTGATGTGGTAATATAGAGAGAGGAAATACTAAAGATAATCATATTTTAAAATTGGGGAGGTTCAGGTGGCACCTGTGGCTCAAAGGAGTAGGGCACAGGCCCTATATGCCGGAGGTGGCGGGTTCAAACCCAGCCCCGGCCAAAAACTGCAAATAAATAAATAAAGGAAAAAAAATTGGGGAGGTTCAGGGACTTTACTTTTTACTCTTCAAGTGTCAAAACATCAACATAAGGAGACTAAAAAGTATAATGTGTAATGCATACCCAGAACAACTGCTAATAAAACTACACAAAACAATATATTCAAAAATACCACAAATAAATCAAGATGGAATTCTGGCAACTAAGTAATGCACAGGAAGGTAAGAAACAGAGAAATGAGAGAGAAGAAAGATACAAATCCCTCTCAAATAATCAAATAGTCAACTTAAGCCCTAACATATGAGTTAAATGCAAATGACCTAAATACCAATTAAAGACGTAGAATAGCTGAGGGAAGAAATATAATCCAACAATATGCTGCCTATAGGAAATTCACTTCACACTCTGGGAGGCCAAGACAGGTGGATTGCCTGAGTTCAGGAGTTCAAAACCAGCCTGAGCAAGAGTGAGACTCCCGTCTCTAAAAAAAAATAGCCGGGTGTTGTGGCAGGCGCCTGTAGTCCCAGCTACTAAGGAGGCTAAGGCAAGAGGATCACTTGAACCCAGGAGTTTGAAGTTGCTGTAAGCTGTGAAGCCACAGCAGTCTACCCAGAGTGACAGAGACCTTGTCTTCTCTCCCCCCCAAGAAAAAGAATAAAAGAAA